TGAAACGCGTGGGTGTGACGAGGGCCTCGAGCCTGGTAATCCTTTAACACAAGGTTCCTCAGGTTGTTGTTAGCGGAAATTTAAAAAAATTGAGAGTAAATCCACAATAAGTTTTTATGACAAAATTCATCAAAATCATGAAAATTAACAAATTATTTTAAGTAAGAATTTCACAAGGCAATTTTTATGGATAGGTATATCTAAGATTTGGAAATTGAATACAAGATTCCTCATAAGTAGGGCAGAGGACTTGTAGCATTTGCATATTTGTTTTACACGATCACAAAAATAGCAGAGTAAGAAACAAATACGTTTCATGCTGAAACAAAGCTAGTTTTGTAATTTTATTTTGCATATAAATGTATATTTTAAGTTTTTTTTGGTTTTAGTGCATATTTCTTCAATTCTATTTCTATACGTTATAAGATGCTTATTTTTAATAAATTATCACTTTATCAATCGACGTTTTTTTTAATTTAAATATTTAATATACAACCAAAATTATGTTGAATTTAAAATTATTTAAAATTTTGATCATATTAATATAGTTGTTGACGGTTCCCACAAGCATATTTTTCCTAGAGACACGTCTCGAGGATTGCCGATTACATTATTTTATTTTCCGGTTATTAATTTTACTATGTACGGATATTGTTCACTGCAGCATAATATATTATCAATACGGGCCTTTTTAAAACTTTTTTACTTAACCAGACATCTTTTTTGGGGGGGACTTTTTTTACGGATTAAACAGTTAGCGGCACTCGTCGCTCCGCTCCGTTAATAGAAAATATCCCTCGATTTGGTATGCAACAACACCCCTCAGATAGGCCATAATGGTAAAAAACATTAAAACGTAAAAAAAAATTAAATAAAAATCAATATTTTGACGTTCAATTGTTTGCAGTTCAATGTTTTGAAGGCCTCCCTCCAAAAACTATTAGCCGTAAAAACTTGAAATGTTTATTTTATCATTTTCTTATAATGATAAAATTTTCAAAATATTTTGACTTGTTTTGTATATTTATAGGTATTTGAAATTTTAAATTTGTTTAATCAAATATCAATAAAAAAATATTTGCTCGGTTGAAATGCTTAAAAATTTAACTTATTATTCGTGCCTTTGTGGGTACTTGAAACTTTTAGTTATGAATAATATAGATATATAATATATATAATAAATGTATACATATATGTTAATATATAAACTGTAGGTTGTAGGTATATACACTTATATAGTTATATGATTCCTTCTTTATTAACTACAAACTACTTGATCAACTTCATCGGTCACACGAAAGGTAGACTTCACATAACACGCATGTATAAATTACAGATACTTAATATAGATACAGTCGTACAAGTGGCTCAAAATAAGTGGAAGGATGCCTTTCAAAATTTATATAGGTACTTCTCATATGTCATTTAAACAGTCGTATACAATATTTGGTGGGAAGACAGATGCGAATGGTGTGGAACATGGAAGGATGCCATCCCATCCTTAGTATCTTATACTACTATACTGGTATATGATCTAAAATCCCACCGTAGCCCCCCCCCCCCCCCCACTACCATACATGTATAGGTAAAGGACGGGCATGGTGCTTTAATTTTTTTTTTAAGGGTGCATCAAGGAGCGGTACATTTTTTCACAAGGGTTAGTGTTTTTCCAAGAACGACAAGAACTACAGTGATTCTTGAGATAAATTAGGTATTTAATTTATTTTAACATAGCTATGTATAGTTATAGTAGCACACCTAATATATTCACTTTTTGTAACAATCAGAAGGTGTAATATTCTAAGTTCTAAATAGATAATATGCATGAACTTTTAAATAATTAACATTTAACAATGTTTCAATAATACCTACTGGCTACTACATATTATTACTACCTACCTATATGATTATATTGGTTTTTTTTTATGCAAATAAAGAAATATTTTAACATAAGACTTTAAATAACTAGATTAACAATGATGTAAACATTTCACAATTTTATTTTTTACTTTTAACATATACACATTCATGGTCTGAATGGTTGTACTACTTTTCAGTTTTATTTTAATTTTAATGCTTGTATTGAAAATATAATTTGATTGACTGGAATTTTAGATAATGATTTGGGCTACTTACTCATCTCCATTTCCACAATTCCATTCAATGAATAATACTTCGTATTTAGTAAATACAATAATGGATGATCACACACGTGTTCCGAACCCCACAGTAAAACCCAAACAGTCCCAAAAACCCCCTGGCTAATAACCACGCAGTTGATGCCATAAACAATTAATAAAAAATAAAATAATGGATGATATATTTTGTTGAAAGTGTAGAAAATAGTTTCATTATTTAAAAGTAACAATTGATAAACTTAATATTTTAACTCTTATAAAAATAACATGCGACATCTGTTTCATGTTTCAGTTGTTCTCACATCTCCCTATTGCATATCACTGTGCCTGGTAATGAGTTGAAAATAATTGGCTAGAAGTTTATGGTATTCATAAATTTAAATCTGCCCTACATTACTTGATACATTATAGTAACCTACCTAAAAAATCTATCGGGCGCACTATTGTGGAGTGCCACTTGTTGTGAAAACGACTGTGGGCAAGTAAAAATAATTGCTATACTTTTCAATTAAATACCCTTTTACCCCTAGGGTAACCATACGACTGTTACATACCTAATCAAAGTACAATACTAATTGTTAAATAATTAATGTTTCAATGTATTGAGTTTAAAAACTTAAAATGTATTGCAATACAAGTTACTCGATACTCCTTAGAACAGCTGTATTGGGATGTTACTGATACAAGATACTATCAGTGGTGTTTTGGAGTGTACACCCATTTATTATTTGGTGAATTGTTGTAAACCCTGTAAAAATAGTATAAATATGCACATATCCGATGGTATATCCAATTTTTTTATTTTAAATTAAGCAATCCATGTTTTATTTTATTATTTATTGTCAAATAATAACATTTATCAATCATCTCTATAAGGTAACTAATAATTTATATGGGTCATTACCATAAGTATACATTGGAATAATTCATAGCATTCTTGAGTTCGGAACCATAGCAGTTTTCTTGATAAAAAAATGTTTGAGTGACTGCTATTACTGAGTAAGAATTGCAAAGAGAATTATCAAGTAAAATATCATAAAATGTTAAATCTGACCTATAGTCTATAATAGTTGTTCACACAAAGGTAAATAAATAAAAATCCACAAACTAAATAACTAAAAAATGTATTTTAGTAAAGTTTGAGAATTTGTGAATGTATTCCATAAGATCTTTATAAAATAATTGTTCAAGAGCAAAGCGAGTAGCTTTTTTAAAGGGTTTAATCTGATTAGTTGTACGCTTATAAAATAATAATATTCAAAGCATTTTTGAACTTTTACCTTTGCCTTAAATTCATACCTTAGTTTTTTTTACAAAAACACCACTAGATATAAATTATTATACTTAAGATATTTGTTTCAAACTAACTGCCCAACCCTGTCATTAATAATAAGCAGGGTTCGGGACTTACAGTACTTAAAAACACAATAATAAGCGCTAAAATATGCACTTAAAAACCCTAATATATGCATAAAAAATTTAAAAATGTGCATATAATATATTTATTATTTTATTAATAATTATTAATTACAATTAGTGTACTTCATACAAAAATTTTTAAAAAAATCAACTGATTGTTGACTTTTTTCTTGAATTTCTGAGTTTTTTGAATTTTATTCGTGAACTATATAATGATGGGAAAAATTAAAAATTAAATTTTTCATTTAAATCAATAAATAAATAATTTTACATTTACCGGGAATACCTTTAGTTTCAAAGAACGTTTAATAAGTGCAATATATTAAAATTATCGTATCGCAACATATTATATAATATGTAACGATACCGGATACGGGCCATCATAATATTTTCAAACCATAAAAATTATAAGGAGTTGTGTTGCATATAGTGAATAGGTATATAAGACCGCGAATAAGCTGCATTACTATTATTTTTTTTTTTTAGATCGGGTGAAATTTCGAAAAATTTTCCAAAATATGCAAATTAAGCAATAAGCAGTTTCCTACAAAATGTATGAAATATGCAAAAATATGCACATTCAAATTTTAGATTTGGTACATTGAGAAATTAATTTATTTCGTACTCTGCTACATTTTACAAGAAATAATAAAAGTATGCAAATGCTATAAGTCCCAAAACCTTGATAATAAGTAATAACAATGTTAAAATATAATAAAATATATTTGAAGTAATTTAAGCAATGTTATATTATTTTATTCATGTAATACAAATTGAATCACAATGGGTTTAAGTAATTGTTTTCTATTTAATGCATACTAATCTTTTTTTCTATAAGATCAGTATCATCATAATAAAAATAAGATAATCACTAAATATATTAAGTTTACAACCCATTGGTTTAAGCAAAACTAATTTCTAATAGAGCACATAAATTAAATTTATATTTTAACATAAATTTTAATATTATTAAATATTAAGTTAACACAATTTAAAGTTGACATTTATAAATCAGTTATAAAATTGTATTGTATTTTAATAATAAACTAACTTGCATCAAAAAATGCAAATTTTAACAATAATTAAGATTTTTAATGTTTATAATACTTACAAAAATATTCATTATGAATAAATATTTGAATAACTCCATTATAATTCTATGTAGTCCATGATAAATAGTAATTATTCCAATAATAATTTTAGTTATTTACAAATGTGATAAAAAAAAAAAAAAATTTATTCAAACTAATACAAAATACTTCATTATAGTATTTAAAATTAAAATACATTTATAATATTTTTTTTTTAAATTCTTCATAATAACTGAAGCTACTTTGTAACAATAAAAATGCAATTATAAAATACTCCAATTAAAATAAGTAATTCATGAAAAAAAAAAAATGTAAGGTTTTAATTTTAATATCTCTGAAGAAAATATTTTACTCGAAACACAAACATTTTTTTTTTTTTTAAGTCTTGTGTACATATTCTAGTACTAGGTTTTTGTGAAATTAAACTTAAAAACTTATATAATATAATTATTGCAATTTCACTTGCTCAAATCATAAATTAGGTTATAAAATATAAAGTATGATATTTAATATAATTGAGCAACTAATACAGGTTGTTTCGGAAAAATGTAATGAATAAGAGATCAGGGATTTATCATACAACATACTTCACATTAAATCTTTAATTTCTCATTCAGTTAACATTTCTGTAACACCTAAATACAGGCACATATCTAAAAATGTATGACGATTGTCCATCAAAAACATCGATCAAACATTATTATTTGAATATTTTATATTATTATGGATGATAAGAGAAGTAGGTAAATAATATTGGGCTGTTTAAGTTGACTCTCTTCCTAAAAAAATTATTTCGATCCGCGCCTGTATCTATATTAAATTAACATACTTATTATCAATGTCTGATTTGTTTAAATACAATATGCATAAGAATAGGTCGATTTTTAAACATTTTTATATAGATACATGATGTACTATAAATGGTGTTATCATTCCGAAGAGTATCCCGCTACAAATTCCAGTGAGCAGCATAGCAGCTCCAAACATACCTGCAACGCCACTGTACCTTGGTTCAACACAGCTAAAAGTAACATATTTTATCAGTATATAATTATTGTAAACATAATACAGATGATAGAACTTTTTATGAGAGTTGTATTAAGTTATTAGATAAGTTTTAATAAGTGAGCTCCTCAGCTAGACTGAGAAATCGCGATTTATACCATAAGGTATAAGAGATAGTAATTTAATTGTCATCAATTGTTATTTCATAGGCTTGTGCAATTAATATAGAAACAAGTGGTTGACAACATCTGTGACAGTAGACATTCATCGTATCTGAGAATCTAACATGTCACATATGAATACACTTAATAAAAAATGACCGTCTATTCCTCAATCTGTATTATTAGCTATATAATAGTTTTAATTAATTAAAATTTAGTCAATACTAAAAGACAAATATTGTTTGATATTAAATATAGTTAAGCAATATAAGCAATTATTTTTACCTTGGGGTATACATCATCGCTACAGAACTGTAATAACCACTAGATAATCCAAGGATTGCTCCTAATGCCCAAAATACATAATCATTTTCTATTAAGACTGGCATTACTCTTGTAACACCAATTGGGTGGTAATTACAAATCAAAAATAATGGAATAAGAATAACTCTTAGTACCACAGGAATAAAAAGCCATTTTGGCTTTGGCTAAAACAAAATAAATGAATAATATTAAATTTAATCAATTATTTATGTTAAATTTTATTAATATTTACCCATGAAACCAATGTAGAAAGATATGTTCCAAAAAGTGCGCATACATTGAATGTCAAAAAACACATTACACTGGTATAATATGTATCTCCAAAAATAAAATCTTTATTTGACTTTTTAATATCTGCAACATAGAAGTAGTTACATAATTTTAAGTATTTTATAGTATGGTTTGTTTAACAAAATAAGTTATACCTGAATGAACTGCTGGAAATATTGAAAGAGTCACAAAGAATACAAAAAATACATTAAGTAATTGTGGACTGGCTTGTTTAAAAATACGCCAATAAGGAACTTTATCATTTTCTCCACCTTGTTTAGAATCTTGATTTTCAATTTGTCGTTGATAAATGAGTTCATGGTACTTATAAAATCTCTACAAGCATACATACACAAATAAATAGATATATTTTGTTTGCATATTCATACTCAAAAGTAAAAAACTACTTACATTTAATGGCAATGCAAAATATGTATCAAAACAGGCAAGCAACACAAAAAGTGCAGTGGTAAAATAATATATAGCAGCAGTTCGAGCATCTGGAGTAATTGAAATTGACGCAATGTTAGCAATAGATGTAAATGTACCACTTAAATTTGTACCAAGAACTACAGCTCCAATATATTTTGTGGGGAGTTTTGCTGCCATTCCAAAAACAGAATTGTTGTAAATACCATTTGCCATATTTAATAATACTATACTGCCCAGAGTTGACCAGAAAAATAGAGCTGGTATTTGAGAGGTATTAATCATGACCAACGCAACAGTAAAAACAAAACAAAGTACCTCAGTAAGAATAGACCATACAATTCGAGTTGTCAATTTGCCGCTGAAAATAAAATTATTAACAATTTAATATACATACATAATAAATATTTGATTTGCATTAAGTATTCCTGATTTATTGAGAAGTTGTAGTAATTGTACACATATTTGGTCACTTATTATAATTTGTTATTTTCGGTTTTAAACTATTATTTTTAATTATTTCTTACTTAAAATATTAGAATAATTTTATTATAATATTAAAATTGTTTTGGTGTTTTACACACTAAAACCTGGTCATTACATTAATTGAAAATTATATACTATAAGTTAGCAACATTTTAAGTATTAACAAATACATATTCTTCATTACAACATTTATCTTAGAAAAGGCAATTGATTGGAGGGTTGTCTATAGGGTGGATCATAGATTATATATAAAACTTGTATCTAAAATACTAGTCATACCTGATGACAGTTTAACCATTTTTCTATATTAAGTATTTAACTATTATTATTATCAAATAATTATTTTAATTTGTTAAATTACTATAACAATACATAAGTGTTTAGACATTGTAAATATTTTAATTAAAAGTTATATCTAAGATTTGATTATATGTTGAACCATATTTATTTTGAATTAATTAATTTTTTTTATCTATATTAAATGTTTTTAAATAATAAAATATGATAACCTCTGGCCATTTGCTAACTACATTACACATAATCATAAATCCTACCATATTTATAATTAATAATACATGCTATATATTAGGACCTCTGACATAACAATATTTATATGTACATTTAAACTTACCCTATTGGACAAAATATGTTGAGCCAATTGAATAGAAGACTAGGTAGCTGTGACCCAATAGTCAAGTAAGCCATGAAAATGGATGCATAATGCAGATCTTGACCTAAATATTCATTCCCCAACTTGTAATCCACGAAATACTTAAAAACAAAAATAACATGTACATTTGTCACTTCAATTTTTTCATCGGAAGTAAATTTTAAACTGTTTTATAGTAAGTACATAACTTTTCTTTAAGAGTATTAATACTATGTATCATTAATGTTTATGCAACCGAGCATAAGAGTAATATATTTTAAATACAATAATACCAGGTTGCAAACATGTCCATTAAATGTTTTGAACTCCCTTAAATAATTTAACAGTCCTTGCAAACCAGTACAGATATTATAACTTTTTGAATGTAATAATAAATACACTTTTAATTTTAGCACTAAATTTCCACTTACAGATTTAGCATTTATAAACATATTCCAAGGCATTAATATTCCTATTCCGTGTAGAACTAAGATCAAATACACAATATTCCATCTAAAACAAGAAATAAGAAATAAACAATATTATTATTATTTATTTAAAATAATATATGTAGTTATCATCTAAACTTATAAAAACAATAACGCAAAGAGTATAATTTTAAAATTGTTTTTATCACTAGCATTTTAATAATACTATTAAGTTTAATAAGAATCTAAAATAAAAAGTTTCTACAAATAAACCTAAGTATAGAAAGTGTCGTGACTGTTTTGAATAAGTATGATGATAAATAGTAAATTACATAATAAATAATTAAGTACCATTCACAATGTAAATAGAAATATCACAGATATATACAATTTTAACTTGCCTGTCTTTTGGAGGGTCAGTCTCTAACACGGCATCATCCATACTGAATGTTTTAAAGTTAAGTTCGTCGTTCGGTAAATTATTTTCTTCCCAAGCTGGAGTCAAACGTACTGGTACTTGCTCAGAAGCAACACTTGTAAATGAATTATGTTTAGTTGGTTGCACTAAAAAAAAAAAATTTACAATTTGCATAAGTAAAATGAATAAATGAGATAATTAATTTTATTTCAATACATGGTTATTATTGCTTCACTGATTAAAAAAAATATTTTATCAACTATATACTATATATTATAATATTACTAGGTATTTACCTTAATGTCAATAATACAATATAAATTATGATAAAAAATATACATTACAGAATTAAAATAATTAAGTGATCTCTAAAATATGTCTGTTACTGTATGTATCTCATACATATTTTGGGCGTTAAGTCATTTAAAATAGGCTATTAATTTATTTTTATTTTTAAAAGATGAAAGTAATAAACAAATATTGCAAACAAAAACATACAATTCATTTTATGAATTTGATATTTAAATGTAATGTTATGTAATATATTGTTATGAAGTTAGGAAATGTTACTAATGCAATTATGAATTAAGACACAAAAGTTTAGTAGCTAACTTGGGAATATATACTCACTACCTCAAAAACAATATGTATCATTGATATTACATATTGTGTTTTACCTCACTGTGAAATAAAAATAGAACTATTTAAAACTAATTATACAATTATTTGTTTGTATTAGTTTAGAACCCATAAAAACGATTATAAATTGCAACTTAATATCTATGAGAAGTATAAAATGTGAATTTATTAGTGTTAGTGATGTTAATTTTTGTTGATTTTTTAACTGTTAAACGATTTTAAAATAATATTGTCTTTGACAAATCATAATATTTAAAATGAATGCATTGTAAAATTATAAACATAAATCCGTTGTATATTTACATGTTATAAAAAATGTTTATACTTACAAAAAATAATAAGACTGAATCAAACAAAACGCAACCATAGGACCATCGTGTTAAATCAAAAATACAACCAAACAAAAAGCGAGTATAAAACTATATATGTTGAAGGTCACGATACTTGAAAAGAATTTATTGAGGAGGGATATTGTTTGGAATGTGGAATTCAATTAAGGGTCAATCTGGTTCTCTATTACATAGTTTCATAAAACCACAGCGCTTCACATTGTTAAGCACTCCTTATTCCAATTCGAATAATCATCACATTTTATTTAAACGATTGATCATTATATTATTGAAATAAAATGCTGGGTGATAATAATTTTTTTAAATAATCCAAAAAACTAGAAAATGTACAAAATTAAGTTGGTAGTTAATAATAACTTCTTAACGGTTTTTACTTGTTACGCAGAATTAAGTTGCAATTAGGATTTAGGATATTCGGTATTTTATTCGTTTCTAGCTATTTACAATTCAAACATCAATTTATCAATGTTTATCATGGTTAGGAGCGGTATTTAGAAATATTTGTTGTGCCTAGTTAAATATTGCACAATAAAATATTTTGATTCACTATGCGTTTTTCCGAATGGCGAGAAGCGTTCGGAGTTTCTAGTCACTTCGAAAATATGAATTGTGTTTTAACTACTTAATTGTCTTAATTATAGTGGTTATCTTAACATTTTTATATTATTAAAATTTTTGTTAACTTATGACTAAATAATCATTAAAGGAATGTAAGAATATCAAAGCACATATTTTGTAAACGGCTAACGCACGTGCAAGTCCCATTATACAAATCATAGAAAACACATTCATATTTGAACCAGATGCGCAGAAAACGTGATAAGACTTATTGCAGACATACCTAAATTTTTTTATCAAGATCTAAGCAATATAATATTAAATTCTTAGAACAGTACCTACAAATTATGAAATACTTTATTGACTGAATGCTATTTATATTTGTTGCAAAATTTAACAATAATAATTCGAATAGTTTGATGGGCGACTTTAGTATAAGATATTATAAACTGGTATTACTAGGTGGATATGGGGCAATTCTTTGAAACAGTAAAAATTCATTATCTCAATTCTTGATAAATATTTACGTTCGACAAAAATTCTAATTTCTATTTTTAAAGTACGTACTTCTTTAAAATGACAACATACACATTTAATTTAATGTTCTTCAGCAGAATATTTTTCTGAGAATTTACATTTATAAAACGAGTAGTTAGAACTTAATAAATAATAAAGCTTTGGTGAACCCTCATTAAGTGGATTAACATTTTGCAAGGTTCCTATGATGCCATTCCACAATCTAAACTTTAAAATTTAAATACATAATATTATGTATACCCAACTTAGTAGTTACTTATGTTCGATTCATAGGTATATCACTTAGGAATATGAAACTAAAAATGTATGTTAGTCATTCAAAAATTAAAAATTAAAAAGATGGAACACAGATAATAATAAAAAAAATATTTTTTCAAACATTTTTTTATTAAGATTAAAGCATGTAAAAATAAAATTTTTAAAAAACGTTGACATATAATTTGTGTTAAATGTTAAAGATACCAGTAAAATATAGATTCAATACTATTCATAATTACCAAAAAATAATATAAGCTACTCACGATTTTTTTTTTGTTTTTAGTTAAAAAACAGAAATAACACTAAATTTAAAAATAAATAAAACTCAACACTATCTTGCACAGAGACGGATAAAAATATTGGAGTTCCAGATTCCACGTGTATCTGCCGTTACAGAAAATGGAACTAAACTAACTCTATCGCAAATTGTATTTGGCTAATAAGTAGTAGGCGGCCCAGCATTTATTTGTTAATATATTAAATATTGCGGCAAGCGTTGATAAAGATAATTTAATATAGTGTTGACCGTCCGCCGTCTCTACAAATATGTAACTATTACTAACTTATAACAAGAAATAAATATTTAATATAATTTATAATTTATACATGCGTAGCTGATAATTGATAAATAAATAATGAAGTATCAATTTTCGTTATTATTACATAATATAGAATAAAATAATTTTATGAGAAAATTACCATCACGACGAAACTCCTAATTTATATTGCTCATACAAATATAAAGTAATATTCTAATATATTTATTTAAATTTGTTTTGATACCTAATTGGTTTGACCTAAAAGTATTCCTAAGGTTTTTAATTTCATAAAAAAATTACTACTTGGCTTGATTAAAATACACATACAAATCTCCGTAGTATAATAATAATATTAAATACGTAAAAAATATATAAAATTTGTTACAAATTAATAGTTCATTTTTTTTAGGATTTACTATAATATATTAATTAACTGAAATAAAATATCGTACCATTTTTATGCAAGCAATGCAGTCAAAATTAACTGAAATAAAATAATTTATTATAATATATATATATGTATTTATTTATTAGTGTTCCATGCATCTAGGTAATTATTATAAATATTAAATAATAAGATTCTGCTCATCTTAACTTTAAATACTTTTAACTAATTAACTACATGTCCAAAATTTGATTTTTATAAATCAAAATATGCTACATACTATTATGCTTAGGGATGTGAAATCAAAAATGAGTAATGTCATTGCAAATGTGGTTTTTAACAAATTTATGCAAAAAAAAAATATTCTCCAAAGCGTTTAAACGTAATTATTTTTTTATAATAACGAGTCTATTATATTAAATGGACCACCCCGTATTTTAATTTGTAAGTATAGCCCTATTTTAATTTCATCAATAATGAAATCGGGCTACACATGTTATAAATAATAAATACTTTATTACCTTAATGGATATCTTGTTTAAAAATTATACTAATTTAATAAAAAAAACATTGATATTGTTGTTACTCACTTCTTTATATTTTAGAAAAATGCAGTCAAGTTTTTATTCAAAACATAAGATAAAAAATACACTGATTTATTTTATAGGCATATAGTATTAAACATGTTTTGGTTATTTACACACTGACACATCTGCCTCGTAGAAAGCAGTAAAGTATAATGATTGTCACCAAACAACTTATAATTCCATTAGCAAATGTTGTAACCTGTATACCTATATTTATTTTTTAAATACCACTAACCAAACTCTCCAGGAATTTAGGATATAACTAACACAAGGTAAATGAGAATAAAAATGTAATTATTTACCTACCTAAAAACGTTATCTTATTTTTAAACTAACTGAAATATTTGATTGATGTTAAGAAAGGAAAAATAAAGTTGGTATAGTTTTCAGTAAAATATAATTTAGACAATTTATTAGTATAGTCATGGTATAACCATTGTCAGCCTTGATTATGACTGGAATTTTAAATAGGAAGGTAACAATAAACATAGAAACTGCATTATCAACCTCGAATATCAATAGTGATAAATGACGAATCCGGTTTCTTTTTCATCTAGATAATAAAATAATATGTATTTTGTACTTACAAGTTACAACATTACACACGTGTACTGCAAAAATATATAGTTATATAGGCGAGTGTTTGAATAAACTATCAACCCAACTAATTGTCGAAAAATATACGAAATCAATTGACTTAGGTAGCAGAACTACTAACTAGCAAGCCAATACATATTATATGCCCTGTGGTGCAATCATAAAGTGTAATTTAATTATTTTATATATTTCCTGTATTGCTGAAAGAGCATAATAATTATGCCAATAGTCATAATCGTATTACATATTTACATCGAAACCTTAATCGACAACCATCGACTTAGCTCAAGTAAATGTAAGCCGAAATATCATGGTTCTTTTTTTTTTGATTCACAGATGTTATCCGAAGAAAAATTGAATAAAAAATAAAACGAACCGTACAATACATAAAAACCATAATGTATCAATTACTGAAGTACACTTAAATTCCATTATTCTATATCAGGGTAATCGTATTTTGAACTACATGGTACACATAATATACGAGTATACGCATACTGTTTAAGACCTATACGTTTTTATAGATCATATCTATACAATTTTGGTATCTCATACCAAATGTTTTAAAATACTGTTGGTTCGTATCAATGAGTCAATGTATTAAACATTACTGAACATTTAAAATTTTAACGGACCCGATGTCGCATTTTTCAAAACCTCCTGTAGTAATTAAAGTAAATGTATCCATTCAAATTT